CTTTGCTGAGCAAGTGATGCAATGCTACATTTCTCCAAATCTGATGAAGAAACAAACTTATCTACATCTTGGACAATTTTTATTTTTGGATGAACTACTCCTTTAAAAAGAAGCACTGGTGAGTAAAGAATGAAAAAAAAAAATGTTTTGATCCGTTTTAAACAGGAGTGAAGCTGCTTGGTGAAGGATACCCAGACAGGACTGTGACGGAAACGCGGGTGGGCGCTTCTCCACTGCACCTGCTGAGGCTGCCCATCCAACACCAACATCAGACCCTCTGACTGAGATTGAGAGAGAGAGAGAGAGAGAGAGAGAGAGAGAGAGAGAGAGAGAGACACTCATTCAGTCGTACTGTGGTTAAACAGTGCAGCTGAACTTCTCTCAGGATTCACTTACATGAACAGTTTTGGAGAAGGCGACAGACACCCTCTGTCTCTCCCGGCTGACATACACACAACTGATCATCTCCTCTCGCTCCGCTACACACATACAGCATGGGGTGAGCATACGTGTCTTCACAAATACACAGCAATTCTAAACACACACACACACACACACACACACACACACACACACATCTGCCCAGCAGCCAGCGGTAGTAGAACCAGGCGCTCTGGTCGTTGGGGTCGGTGAAGAAGGCATTATGCGCCAGCTCATATTCTAGAGAAAACAGTCAGAAATTTACTACATGGTTCACTGAAATTATTCTGAAGGGTAAACTGAGCACAGCATCCTTAGACGCTTGATTGTGATTGTCTGACAGATACTCTGAAGGGCTGATTATTTTTCTTACGGCAAAGATAGAAGCAGGTCCAGGTCTTGACCATATTACCATGTTACCATAGCCTTTAACAGCAAAACAACCAAAAAATACAGAAACATGTGTCAACAAAAAATTAAGAAACAATCAAATAAAGGACCTTTGTTTAATTATTGTCTTACAGGATCTATATAAAGTACATAGTATCCTCACATAATAAAAATAAGATTACTCAAATCAATATTTATTTTAATAATATAATGAGTCATAATGAGATTATCTCTTTAATAAACAATCACAATCACCAAGAACATTTTAATTTTTAATATAAATAATAATAATAGTAATAACAAGTTAAAAATGCTTTTTTCTGTAAAAAAATGTATGATTTATTTATTTAGTAATTAATTGATTGACTGATTGATTGATTACAGGCCAGATTCAAACTACTGTTTAAAAGTTTGGGGTCAGTGAGATTATAATTATTTTTTAAAGAAATTAATTAATAGCAAGGATGCATTAAACAGATTAATTAATTGACAAAATATTTGTATTTCAAATAAATGCTGCTCTTTTTAATTTTCTATTCATCGATCAAAGAATCCTGAAAAACATATCAGTTTCCACAAAAATATGAAGCAGCACGACTGTTTTCAACATTGATAATAATCAGAAATGTTTCTTGAGCAGCAAATCAGCATATTAGACTGATTTCTGAAGATCATGTGACACTGAAGACTGGAGTAATGATGCTGAAAATTCAGCTTTGATCACAGGAATAAGTTACAGTTTACAATATATTTAATCAGAAAACGTAAATTGGAATTTTATTCATTAATATTTAATTATTTCATTTTAAACTGTAATAACATTTTACAAAATTACTGTTTCTACTGCATTTGTTTATAAAATAAATGCACTCTTGGTGAGCATAAGAGACTTCTTTAGATATTAAAATCTTACCAACACCAAACTTTTGAGTGGTACAGTCTGTACATCATGAGCTCATGTACTACTGCTGTGCCATAAATTCAGAGATTAAAAAACTGGTAGTGTTCTGGACGTGCTGAAATTAAGCAGTGTGGAACATAAGCTAAAGCACAATCTCGAGTGCCTTATTGCTTACATTCTGTATGCTACTCTAAATGAGTTCATGCACCTTTAAGAAGCTGCTCCTCACAGACTCTGTGTGAGTGAATTTGAGGTGATGCGGTGGGAGAGGGGCTTGTGTTGGGGGCGGGGTCAGGGGCAGGCTGTGGGTGGAGCTGAGGTAGCAGCGTGCTCCTGTAATGCCAGCTGGAGTAGTTGGAGAAATTGGAGCCGATCAGACGATCTGTGAACTGCAGCTCCTGCTTGACAGAAACACCAGACTCCTTTACCACCACGCGCCGGTAATCCCAACAGTGGACTGAGGAAAGAAAAAACACGTCAGACAAAGAGAAATATAAAAATCAGAACGACACAAAGTTCATCTTGTTCAGTGCATGACTCTCTCACAGTTGCGCTCGTCGAGGCTGAGGCAGCGGTCGCAGAGGCCGAGCTCCCGTGTCCAGTCAGGCTGCGGCAGGCGCGTGTTTACCCAGCTGCGGTGGTGCCAGCAGCCGTAAGATTTGGGGTTCACTTTCAGACAGGCCTCGATGAAGTGCAGCTCAGACTCATACAGCTTCTGCACCTCGTCCTTCTCTCTAGAGGATGCAGAGAGAAATATATTACTGTCTTTTGCTCAGATTTGATGAGGGGTTGTCATTTTTAATGACTTTTTATTTATTTATTATATTTTTTTGACTATTTAGTTTTATTTTGTTGTGATAATGTTAATAAATGCAGTTAATTATAAACATTACTGCTATGTCCTCACACTAGGATTTTTATTTATTTTAACATTCACAAAAAAAAAAAACTTTTATAAATATTCATAGCTGTGAAATATTTCATAGAGCAGTCAGAAATATTTATACTTTTTATATAATTTCTGCATTTAAGCAGAAAAACTCATTTTCAGTTGAAAAACAAGATTTACAATTTAGTATGTGTAACACGTAAATATGGTTATATGCATAATATAAAATTATGGTATAAATCTAGTCACTAATTATATTATTTTAGTAAAATATGACAAGATTTAGAATAAAATGTAACAGATTTACAGAAGCCCTGGGCAGAAAGAAAAATAAAGTTGATTTGTTTATTCAAAAAGTTATTTATTATTTAATTTTGCATTTAATACATGTGTGATTTATAATATAATATAATATATAATATAATATAATATAATAAACTAATTTACAGAAGCCCTGGGCAGAATGAATCGAAAAATAAAGCTGATTTAAAAAAAATAAATAAATAAATGTTTTGGCATTTTCACAAAAAAAAAAAAAAACGTGTACTTGTGTGATTTGGAAAATATAAATAAAATAATGATATAAATCTAGTCAATAACCATATTATATTGGCAAATCCTAAAACATTTACAAATAAATGTAATCAAAATTTAAAGTGCCATGAAACCCCCGTTTCAGCACTGGTCTTTCAGAGCTTAGATCTGAAAAACACTCCAGAAATGTGTGTGTAACACTGTGGAAAAGTGGCTGGGAAGAGGGGAGAAAACAACCAATAAAACACAGACCCACAACACACTCATTATACAGACATTACGGTCGTGTTTACAGAGATGAACTGACAGCGCGGAAGCGCTTTCATGAGATTTAAATTCTCCGCTGTAAGACGACCTCATGCATAATGCAGCGCATTGATTGGATCATAAGAGTTCATTCTCATGAATAATACTGAGAAAAACTCGGGAAACTGATGACGTAGACGTGTACTCTCCAGCCACGGCAGCCAATCACCACGCATCCAGATTAACACATATTCCTCACTTTTCGTGAAGTAGGCTCAACTTTGCTTTTTGAACCAGAAGAACGAAATTGCTCCAAAAAATGAAAAAAAGAACCACTTTTACCTTAATAATAGACATAATGAGTGCTATTGTTGTTTTCACTGATGTGCAACCTGTTCATATATGGGTTAGGGTTAGGCCTTAAAGTCCCCATGAAATCAAAATTAAAGTTTTTTGGGTGTTAGTAGGGCTGCACGATAAATCGAAATGGAATCGAGATCGCAATTCGACAGAAAGCGAATGCGTATCTTTCAGTGAAACACGGTTCTGTGATCAGCAGTAAATCTCCATCCAAAGGCCAGACAGCTGTGATTTTTTTGCGTAACTTGTCAGTGAACTATGGCTATGTGTAGTAAATTCTGCTCCATCTGAAAGCACGTGATGATGATTTGCTGCCGATTACGGAACCGGCTTTACTGACAAAAGGCGCATGACAATCGCATTCGATTAATCGTGCAGCCCTAGGTGTTAGTATCAATCAATATGTTAGTCTTAAGGTTATCTATAAGGCAGTGTGCTCCAAAACGGTGACAAAATTTAGAAGATATAAGCATTCAAAGCTTGCAGTTCGTCACTTCCGCCAAACCGGCTTACTGGCAATTTAAAAAAGGGGCGGGGCTGTTTGATATGTCCCGCCCTGTCTTCCTGTTTCAGTTAAATTGACGTCAACACAGAGTAACGCTGCGTGTTTCTAAGCATTTCAGGGGACCTTCAACACCTCAAAAAATGTTTTAGGGTTTCAAGACACTTTAAGCAATTCGGTAGATGTTGAAAATCAGAAACTATCATGCAGTGTCAATTCATTTATTTTAACGATGGTGCTGACCGATACTGAGAGAATATAAGAACTGGGCGGTTGTGGGAAAACCTCAAAAGATTAAAATGATTCCTCGGTCATCCTAATTTACTACATTCACAATAGGGCTGCGCGATTAATCGAAATTGAATCGAAATCGCGATTTGAGACGTTGCGATTTGCTAATCGCAAAGCCTGCGATGTGGACGCGATATTACTCTGTTCCAGAGCATATGCATGAATGCCAGCCTTGAGCTGCAGTCTTACTTGCCCTGGGCAAGAGTGAGCGCACCTCCGTTCTCCCCAATCAGCACTGCTCTAGCCAACTGCGTAAACTTCTATAGTTTTTTTTCAGCAGGGTAAAGATACCCATACTGTGCTGCACATTTTTGACAATATTGAGTTGAAGCTTGACTTTGCAAATTTAAAATCGCAAATCAAATCTCAATCGCAATAGCTGTCAAAAAATTCGCAATTTGATATTTTCCCCCAAATCGCACAGCCCTAATTCACAATAGAGCGAGCCTCTCACACTCTATCCCTTAAACAATACCCTGCAGATGTTGTAGGTTTGATGTGTTCCAGACGTGCAGCGGTCTCTTACCGTAAGGTCTCCAGGTGTAAGAGCACCTCTCTCCTGTAGTTCCACAGCGTGGCAAAGTCCGGGTTTGAGGACAGGAGCTGCTGAGTCAACTGCAGAGCCTCCTCGTCATGTTCCCCAGCACTCCTCTGAGACACAGAAACTATTACAGGCTTCAGCCCCAAACCTGACTTCATGCAACACACAACAAACCTTTTTCAAGACGGCATCGCGAGCAGACACAAACGCTTTCAACTTCTTCTCTCTCTCCTTCCTCTTCTCCTCCTCCTGCTGCGCGGTCGACTTGATCTTCACCCGTCCGTGCTGACAGGAACACAGAAAGAGACAGATGCCTAATGTACAGAGAGCAGGCCAGAAGCAATGCCATAACACTGTGGCAGAAAGAGCAACTCACCATTATTCACCACTTGATGAAGATCTATAAATAGAAAACAGTATAGATCCATTTGAAACAATAAGGTAACAACATATATATATATATATATATATATATCAAATGAAATTCAAGTCTTCCTTCATTCATTCAGATTTCTATAAGAGCATGGGTATGGTCCACCAAAGAGATAATGAATGAAAGAAGACTTGAATTTGATTTGAAATGTAAAATACCCCGTCAGCACAGACTTCCTAACATTCAAATCGCAATGATAAAGGACAGCAGCGCTCTAAAGAGATCACAGGTCTAAACACATCTGGGATTGCTGTCACACAGACGCTTCACAACATGCGGTAAACTGTGCTTTACCCTGCGCGTGGAGCTTCGAGATGAACATTATATCTATCGCACAGCTTTATATGCTAACCCGTGCTTTTGTTTTACCTGTGTCTGTGACTTTAGGACGTGCTGGGCGTGTGATAAACACAAGCTGTTCTACAAACAGCTCCGCCGTCGCTTCACAAATACGTCATCGACGTGCGCCCACTAGCGCCTCTGCGGGCCTCCTGTGACGAATCGTGTCATAAGAATTACTCATTAATCTGCTGCTTCTATTATTACTTCTTTATTTCTGACTTTTGATTTTATAAAAATAAACAAATAAATAAATAAAGACCTGTAAAATGTGTTACTATTTGTAAACATTGTAATATATTTTTTTTATTTTTAGAATTATTATTTGTACATTTTTGTTTATTCTAACGTATCCCCTGGTTACATATGTAATTCTTTAAAACCGATAATAATAATAATAATAATAATAATAATAAAAGCTGCTTGGCAATTAGTACCTAGGAACAATCTCTGCATCTGAAAAGATTATATATTATATTATATTATATTATATTAATACATTTGGCTAACAATATTCCTATGTTGGCAATATATATACAGTATCTCACAGAAGTGAGTACACCCCTCACATTTTTGTAAATATTTTATTATATCTTTTCATGTGACAGCACTGAAGAAATGACACTTTGCTACAATGTAAAGTAGTGAGTGTAGTTTAGACATTAATGGCTGTGTGTTGAGTTATTTTGAGGGGACAGCAAATTTACACTGTTATACAACAGCGGAGACAGCGGAGTAACACCGTTCATATGTGCTCAGGTCAGCATCCGCTCCCAGTCTTTTGTGAGGCAGATGCTTCTTTAACACCATGTTTGCTGATAGCCGTGTGTTTTGATTATTTTTTTTTTCAACTCTAGCAGGAATTTCACAGCTAAATGTCTGAAAAAAGCTCAGTCACTGGACGTCAACAAACGGCTTGTACCGTGCCTGCCTAAAATTCCTCTTTCTTCAGAAACTTAGGACAGAATCCATGAACTCATACATAGATACATATATTTTTTATGAATAAGTACAGTTGACATTACACAGACCATATTACAAACATAACACAAACATTACAAAGCAAACAGAAGAATTGAACAGCGTCATTCATGTTTTGTCAGTTGTTCAATATCAAGCATTAAATCGGTTAAATCCCTCATTTTTTAACTCATAAGTAAATGTTTTATACAAGCAAAACACTCGAGCAGCACAAAAGCACGCAATACATATGTACGATTCAACCTAACTCAAAAACAAACCGGCAAACATTAAAAACATCTTTTCAAATGGACAGTCAGGAGTAATACCGTTAGTGTGTGAGATATAAATACAAAAAAAGTGTTAGAAAATCCAGTGCAAGCGTTTCGCTATAAAGGCACCAGTTTGTAAGGCTCTGGTCACGAGCTGATCTATTTTTAGCTTTTGTATTAAATGGTTATTAAACTTATTGGGTGTTACGCAAGTCCTTAATCATGATGCATACTACTATATAATGTTTTAATTTTAGGTATTTTATAAAGCTCCGTTTAACACAATAATAAAAAAAAAGCCTAAATACCTCAAAGTTGAAGTTAGCTGTGAAGAGTTAATGTTATATATATATATATATATATATAT